TCAAGGAATGAAGTGGATGACGAATCTATTGGGTCAGACTAGAGTGCAGTCACGCCTCCGCCCTCGACCTTGAAAAGACCACCAGTGAAAGAGCCAGCAAATCGTCTAGAGGGTGGCTTGAAAATTCACAAAATGGTCCATGTTCCTAACAGTAACAATAAGAAGAATGGTGCCCTGAGAAAGTGTCGCGTGAGTGCTAAGCACAAGGTTAGAAAAGAAACAAGTATCATGTGTGCAGGCTGTGGTGTGGCTCTCTGCAAACTTTCATGTTTCAATGTTTATCACACGAAGAAAAACAAATAAAGAGGTGTGGAAAGGCATTTATTGCATAAAATATTGTATTTTAATTAGTTCCTAAAAATTTCGTTTTTAAAAACCAATTTTTGTTGAAGTTGTTTAGGAAAAAGTAACTACATGCATTTTAGCGACATAAGGTTTAAAGGGCCTGCCAGGACAGGGGTGAGATTTAAATACCCTTCGTGCCAGTCAAAGAGTTAAAGTTCCAACCCTTGTATATATAGATTAAAGAAACAAAACAACAGCAACAACAGGAATTTCTGGGCGGAACTAATCACCTACTTTCCTTCGATACAACACAGACTGTATAAAAAAAACAGATCAGACAGTAAGGTGAACTAAAAAAGCCTCCTTTTATTTTTTCAAAATAATTTTAGGGACCAAATTATTTAACATTTAAGACAGGAAAAATGTCTTAGCTGCTAGCATCTTAAAAATCATCCACTACAGTAATCAGTGGCATAATCAGGATTTCATTTTTAGTAAGTACGTGCTGTTAAAATATCAAGAAAACAACATTTCAGTATGCAAACTTAAAATCTAACAATGCTACTGACAAATTTTTTTCCTTAGCTAATGTCTAAAAAGAGAAACCTTATGTCATACCGGACACTACAGGACAGGTGTGGTCCCATACATCCTAGACTGAACATGGCTTTGGAGTGTATCTCAGTGCAGAACTCTAGAACCAAAAGCTTGTGCGGTAGTGTGAATGATACACTCACTCACCTGTCCCTGCATGTTCATGATGACAACAGTGTTTGATCTGTTGCACACTACAAAGTGCTCAGGATTCTTTGGCAGCAGGTGGATGCTATTCACTGTTATATCACCCGCGCCACCCAGCGACTTGAATGTGTTGGTGCACTCTGTTGACTTGATGCTCCATACCTTGACTGTCCCATCTGATGAAGCACTGCAAACAATAACTTTCAATGACTGTACCTGCCAGCACTGGCCCAGATGACTTGTGCAAGTAAATTAATTATGCGGTATCCCATTAGTTCCTAAAATACAGAATGCCAGAAAGATAAAACATAAATGAAAGTTGTTCTAAATCATATAATGTCACCTGTCCACAGACAACAAGTTCTATGCAGCAGGTAAAAGTTGATACAGAATGGTGTTGTTAGTCACCTTAGAAAAAAGAATGACTACAACTGGTGCCACTGAAAAACTGTAAAGCTGGAATGGCCTATAATGAAATATTTTCTTACAGTCTTGTGTAGATCATACAACCGTCTGCAATACCAATGTCCATGATTAAAATAGGGCAGATGGCTGTAGAGGGACAGTCTGCACTTTAATACCCTCATCTTTTGGTCTTTGCACTCTGTGTCTAAGGTTTAACTTTGGCTTTTGGGATTTAGCCATGTCATATGCTGAACATGCTCCATTATTTTGGTGAACACTGCAGTCACCATCTCTGGCGTGAATGAGCAGGCTAAAGAGAACCAATACATAGGTCTTGCATTAGGGAAGCAATCAAAGTAGTTTAACACCTCACAACTTCAAACATGATGATGGATACAAACTGAGTAAAGTCTGGCTGCCCCTCTTTTTGGTTTGCTGAAGTTAGCACTAACGTTGCCGAAAAGCGGCGGTCACTCGGTTGGTATAGTTCACTTGCGGGCTAAAGAAACGAGGTTTGTTATGTAAGCTACTGCTCTCTGCAGCCATTCAACTGCTCTGAAGATGGAGGCGCTACGTTCCTCCGAAACGTCGGCCAAAACGAAGAATACACGGTGCCTAAACCCAGAAGACGACTTTCTTCGAGGTTTGTTATGTTTATTTTCTTGTTCTGGTTTTTGGATCTTACTGCTCTTTTGCTAATGAATTAATAACAATTTCACACAGTACAACTGGAACAACAAATGAACTAATGAATCAGTGTTCATAACATTTACCATTGGACACATCGTACTTTACTCCCATCATAAGAGTACAGAAGCACAGAGTAAGCAGGGTAGATTAAACTTCATTTTCATATCAAGAAAAGATCTACTTTCACACATCTACACTTACTATAACATACGAGGTGTGTTCAGGAAATAACGGGAATTTTAAAATTTCGCGGGTTTGGAGAGTCCAATTGTCAAAATTTTTTTTTATTATGTTGGTATACATGCCCCTGAAGTACAATAAAATTTTCAGCTGTATTCATTGCTTACTTTGTCTGTGGCAGCCGCTAAGGTTAGACGTGTTTTTATGAGCTTGGCGATTTTCGTTTGTTAAAAGAAATGGATCAAAGAATTTGTATCAAATTTTGCGTAAAAAATGAAATAAAGTGTTACAAAGTGTGTGAAATGTTAACAAAGGCCTATGGTGAGTCTGTTATGAGTAAAACAAGAGTTTACGAGTGGTATAAGCGTTTCCAAGATGGCCGTGAAGACGTTGCAGATGACGAGCGCCCCGGACGCCCCAGCACATCAACAACCGATGAAAACGTGGAAAAAGTGAAAGCAATGATTATGAATGATCGCCGAATCACAATCAGAGAAGTTTGCGTGAGGCAATCCGAAAAAAACGCCCGGATTTGTGGAAAAACAATTCATGGCTTTTGCACCACGATAATGCACCTGCTCACACTTCGTTGCTTGTTCGTGAATTCTTGGCCAAAAACAATACTGTAACGATGCCCCAGCCTCCATATTCGCCAGACATGGCTCCGTGTGACTTTTTCCTATTTCCAAAAATAAAGAGAACCTTAAAGGGCCGTCGTTTTACAAGCATAGATGACATTAAAAGCGCATCGCTGAAAGAGCTAAAGGCTATCCCAAAAATCGAGTTTGAGAAGTGTTTCGATGATTGGAAGAAGCGCTGGCGTAAGTGCATAATATCGAATGGGGACTATTTTGAAGGCGACAACATTAATGTAGACGAATGAATAAATATTTTTTCCAAAATACGGAAATTCCCGTCATTTTTTGAACACACCTCGTACAATCAGATTTTGAGACTATGCTTACACCACTCTGTGTGTGCGTGCTTGTGTGTGTGTGGTGTGTATGTGCATGCGCGCACATGAATGCAAAGGTTCTATGGTGGGTCAGTGTCTATTTGTAGTTCACTATTCCAGCATTCAGACATGATAGCTGATATTCACACTGGCATTCCCTGAATTACAGTCCAAAGTGCTACTGCCTAAGTCAAGCTGCTCAGTGAACAGTACTGAAGGCTGTCTGTTTGTTATTATACAACATACAAGTTTAAATTCCATTGCATAACTTGGAGTAAAATTAGATAAAACTGTATGTAGTCATAATACTGTACAGACAATTTGCACCTATATTAGCATATAACAACATAAAAAGTACCCGTGTTGAGAAAGCTGAATGTAGCACAAAGAATTTCACATTTTGACAAATATTTTACAATATTTTAAAGGTTAAGAACAAAAAGTGGTTTAAAATTGACATCACATTAATATATGATACACAAATTGACAAGCAGTAATTTTAGCAAGAAAACATATATCTGACGATGGCTGTACATAGCCAAAACATGTCGTAGTAACACAGGACATATAATAAAGACAGAAATAAAAGTCGCATTGTGACGATAATATATAGGGGGTGGACAAAATAATGGAAACACTAAGAAATTGGGGATCAGAATTTGTGTGGCATACCACATAATGTAAGCTGCCCAGAGTTACATTCTGGAGTCTCTACTTTCTGCTATACATGGGTAGAACTGAAAGGGTGAGTTAATGGGACATTTATAGGCTGATAGTTATAAATAACATTAGAAGCAAAATTGCAAGTATAGCTGGTGAAAAAAGTTATGGAAAAAGAGTGGGAAACAATTAGGAACCACACATTTTGAACATTACACAAAATAGCCCTCATTTTGTGCAATGGTTTACCATTTATACAAGTCCAAGAAACTGATGCTTCCAATGGTTTATGTTGTTATAATGAAGTCCCTGTTATAAGCCATATTTGTCCTAATGTGGTTTCACTGTACAGGGTGAACTGCAATGGAATAGAGAGGAAACAGGTCCATTTCAACTTAGCACATGACTGCACTGAGGAAAATAACAGACTTGGATCACAGGTGTTCTGGACAATATTCAAGGTGGTGAACCAGACCAGGTACAAACTTAGACCCTCTTTGTCAGTTGGGCTGACAAATTACCTTTCTGACAATGTGTCTCTTCATTCAAAATCATGCAGAAGATCACTGCTTCTTTTAACATGACACGTTGCTTCACTGAATAAAATAACTGTTAAAAGTGTAGCTTTTAAATGGTAATTCTCCATCTGATAACCTAAAAATGTGGCAATGTACACTTGGTCGACTTACGACCGGCTGCACTTACGACCACAAAAAAATGAAAAATAAAAGATGATTAATATGTACAAGTTTTTAAAAATATTATAGAGATGATAAAAAGGATTACAAAAGGTTAAAAAATACTGTTAATAAATATATGGCCGACATACGACCTGTCAGTCAGAACGGAAGTCAACAACCAAGTGTATTGTGTTTTTTTGAACACCATGGGAGCCTATCGGATTGACAGTATGTCTGCAATATGTCATGCCAGGAGGGTAAGCATGGGTGGCTGGTCCACATGCAAGAATTGCTTAAGATGCTTAAGATCCTGAAGCTGCTTCAGTGTCCTCATGTCTGGCCTGAATTGCTTAGAGAGCCAATCATAAAAATTTTCACTAAACTGTATCAAAATATACCAATTTAAGGTAAAATTGGACTACAACACTAAACACATTATATGTATTTCTACATGAATTGTATTAATATTTATCACATTAAAAATACCTTTGAACAAACGCTGCAGAGAAAAATGAAACACATCTACTTATGTCCAATACATTTTTCCAGCAAGTCATACTGTTTCCAAGAAAATTTAACAAAACAAAGGACACACCAGAATTGTTACAATACATGTTAACTTGTGTGTGACATTTGCAGTGTGTATTGGCAGCTGAAATTTAGCATACAATCAATTCTCAGCAGATATTATTAATGCATAAAGTTCCAGATGAGGCTTTGAAGTGACAATTTGAGTGATTTCCCTGCATATGGACCTTCATGTACTGCTGAGCCTAAACTCCTTCAGACCCTGATATCAAATTAACATCATCACAACCCGTTTATTTACACTGCTGCAAAGCGGAAGCACAGTCCACTTATAAATAGCATCAAACATTAGGCTGGAGCAGAGATCATTTATAATGGTTACATTCTAAACACACATCAGAGTGGCTACAGTTTGGTTAACGTTCTTCAAATAAGCACATAAAAAATAGTTTACTTGTAATATAAGTAGTGAAGATGGCATGCCAAATAACATAAAGGTGCACTACAAAAATAAGTTTCAACATATCACCCACTGCAGTGCAGCGGATACTTCTCTTAGTAAAAGGAAGAATTAACACAGACCTCAGTAAGCTGTGTCCATCTGGCGTAAACACTACTTCATTCACAAATGAACTATGGCCTCTGAACTCCTTCAGCGTCTTGCCAGACTTGAGGCCGTGGATCCTGGGATAAAGGAAAAACAATTGAGCACATAAAATCTTGCAATGTAATACAGCAAACTCATATACAAGTGTTCAAGAGCAGACATTAGGGATGAGAGACCACATAGTTTGGTATGTGGGTTATAATGTTATGTAGAAACCCACTGTCTCAATCCATAAGACAGGAGAGTCCCCTTCTATCCTAAATATAGAGGACCCAGGCATTATTCATCAAACTACATGGCATCACATCTAAGAAGACTACACAGTCTTGATAGTCACTGCTGTGAAAACCACAAGTCTCAAAAGATAAATGTGATTGTGGCTCTGGGCTTAAAGATATGTAAACTGCCAACGAGTTATTCATTAACAAATGGTAGGGTTCTGGGATGGAGAAAAATGGAAAGGGTAGTGAGGGGAAGAGATCAGAAGCTGAAATACCTTTTAGACTGGGAACGAGTTGGACCTCATTCATAGGTTCATTACCTGCCAGGAATTTCAATTAGTTCCAGGTTCTTATCAATCCCTTTATATCTGACTAATTATGTCACCAGTTATAGAACTGAAGCAGAAACATAATGTTGTGGCACACAGATCCATTGCTACACAATGACAGCAAAACAAGCAACTGTACAACAGCCACTGCTAAGTAATGGCTCCATAAACAAGCATGTCTCCAAGGTAACAAGAGAAGACAGCAATGACAGAAGATGTTTTCTACACAGTCCACGTCAAGATGTTATAAGCATGACCAGTTAGCGGTTGCAGTTAGGGAACTGTTGCTGTGAGAAGCTGGTAGTGGTAAATGATCATTATGTATTGGCGTAATTCTCAAATATTAATACTTGTTATTTAATACCAATATTATGCTAAATGCGACTTATGCTCAGTTTTGTTCTCTCTCTCTCTCTAAAAGGAAACGCGCGCACACACATACACACACACATAGCACCCCACGCCAAACAGTAAGAATTGTCAAGACAACATGTAAGCAAGTAGAAAACAGACACACAGGCTGGGAGACTGAAGTATCTTATCCAACACTAGAGCAGTGTTGTGAATATTAAGTTGTGTACCGTGTGTGACAGTAGTGTACCTGTGATTGTGAGTGACTACTGTTGTAACCCGTGCAGTGTTACCAAATAAGTCAAGTACATTATTGTATCAATATTAAGTGTGGTCCAGAGACTTCTTCTAAAAAGGGAAATCTCACTTGTCAAAGCAAGGCCTGTTAAGCCCTAAGAGAGAATCTCATTGCTCGAAACCTGAACATTGTCCTCTTCCTACTCCCAAGATACTTTGATGTGGTTATAAGACCACGTAATGTCTACACCGCCTACAAGTGCGTGAGGGTGCAAGAGAACAGCTGTAAAGTGCCATCTTCAAAGCGACAGTGTCAGGACTGTTAAATAGCTGAGGCTGGGGACGAAGGTAAACGTCTGCTGCTCGAAGCTGCTACCAAACAATGGTAGTGAAGACGTGACTGTGGACACTGTGTGTATGTGTGTGTGTTATAGTGAACTGTAAAGAGTAGTCATGAGTTGTTTAAAGAAATGTAAATTTGTTTCATTTCTTTTAGTATAATTAGAATGACAAAGTCAAGGAGGATGGGATGGGTAGTGGATTTAGCAAGATTGGGGAGAAGAATGCATATAGGATATTGGTGAAAAAGCAAGAAGGAAAGAGACCACAAGGAAGACCAAGATGTCGGTGGGTGGACAATATTAAAATGGATCTTAGAGAGATAGGATGGGATGGTATGGACTGGACTGATCTGATTCAGGATAGGGACCAGTGGAGGGCTCTTGTGAACACAATAATGAACCTTTGGGTTCCGTAAAATGTTGGGAAGTTCTTGAGTAGCTGCACAATTGGCAGCTTCTCAAGAAGGGCTCAGCTCCATGCAATTAATTAGTTACAAAATAATAACAGAATGAGATGGGCAGGGCATGTAGCATGTATAGGGGTGAAGGGGAACGTATATAGGGTTTTGGCAGGAAAGTCAGAATGAAAGAGAAGTACAGGGAGACCTAGACATAGGAGGAAGGATAATATTAATATGGATCTCAGAAAAATAAGATGGGATAGTACAGACTGTATCAGTTTGGCTCAGGACAGAGACTACTGGCAGGCTCTTGTGAACACAGTAACAAACTTTTGGGTAACTGAGCAACTGGTGGTGGCTTTTCAAGAAAGACTCAACTCCATGGAGTTAGTCTGTTAGAATAATGACAACAATAATGTGAAAGATAATGATGATGAATTAGAAGAACTTCTTACAGGCAAACTTTAACATGCATAATAAGAAAAGTATTTTGATTTTTTTATTTCCAATTACAATGACTGATTCCTAAAGAATACATTAAAATATGATGTAAGAGTAAACAATTATGTAAACATTATCAAGCATGCCTTTTTGAGGCTTACTCAGCATTTGTGTAAGGGTCTCGGTACCTCATATCACTTGCCCATTTCTTCTCCTCAGTCATGCTCTATGGGCACCTAAATCACTCCCAGTATGAGGGATGCTGAACCCATACATACCTGATGGTTGCATCAAAGGAAGCGCTGAGCACCTGGCTGTTGTCACGTGAAAACTGCAGACAGGTTACCCCCTTGACATGTGCCTTCTCAAAGCGACGCAGACATTGCCCAGTCTGGATGCGCCACACCTTCACCTTCCCGTCCTGTGAGCCAGATGCCAGCATCTCGGAGTCTCTGCTGAATGACATGCATAACACCGCATCCTCCATCATCATGAAGTTGTCCTGCACAAAAACGCATTCAAATACAGTTTGAGCCCCGACTGCCCTTCATCTCTGCGATTAAGTTACTGATGATACTGCCCATGATATGGCAGTATCTCCCAAATGAAATATGAACTGCAGTCACATGACGATAACAGCACTAATAGTGATATAATACTGACAGGTAGAACAAACAGGGATTTGGCCTGGTTTTTAGCCTACTTTCCTTAACTAACTAACTTCATTGAGCTGAGCCCTTCCTGAGAAGCTACCAGCTGTGCACCTATTCAAGAACTTTCCAGTAGGTGGGTTCCTCATCATCATGGCATTGGCCTGTCCTCAGGCTGTGGGAGGAGATGGCCTCTATATATGGAGGATAGCTGCGAATACATTCAATAAGAAGTCGCGGACAGCTAATTCTTTCAATGTCAGGCACTATGAAATTGATATCATGTTTCTATTAGTCTGTGTAATCAGACGAAGCCCCTTCAGATCTTTTTTTTTATTGCTAGTGGGGTGGGACTAAGTCTCTTGTACTGTGGACACTTCTGGCCTATTGAACCAGCCCCAGATGATAGGTGGGGGTGATTGTGGAGCAATTGGTGGAATGAAGATTGGCAGGGGAAACCGAAGTACTCAGAGAAAACCTGCCCCAGCGCCACTTTGTCCACCACAAATCCCACTTGACCAGACCCATGGTGGGAAGCCAGCGACTAACCGCTTGAGCTATGGTGCGGCCTCCTCTAGACCTTAATAAGCCTACAGAGAACATTTTTGATATGCTCTTGGGAATACTGAACTTGCCTGCAAGATGGCATCAAACACTGTTGCACAAAATATGTTTCTTGATATGACATTCTATTCATTGGTGGTGGCTGTCTTGTGTAGATTATAAGACACACTCTCATAAGACTGTAATCTTCATATTCACTTCTTTGCCTACTCTGCAGTTCCTTAAAGGATGGGGTGTTTCAGAAAAATCAACACAGAAACCAGGCACTGAAAACTGGCATTCAGTCAAAAATTAAAAGCATTTCTATAGTAACTGTGACAAACGTTCTCTGAAATTATATTGTTCATTTGTGTAATATCTGTGAGCTTTGAGAATATCACTGTGAACACACTGACATGATGGTTAGAAGCTGGAATAGTGGGGGGAAAAGACACAGCCATGGCTATGCAACAGCATGGTACAAATGTTTCTGCAGCAACAACACAGGAACTGTGGAAGCAATGTTTTCTATGCAGTCCAAGCCAAGACTAGAGAGAAGACCACAAACTGAGTTCAGCCAGCCAGTCATGAGTGGTCATAGTTCTGAGACAGAAAAATATGAGTACGTTCGTGAGTCCCATGGAAATTGACACCAAGAATGGCTGTGCTGGTGACAGCCAGCAGCAGTTTAACAGACAGACCAGACAGTTGAGCGAGTCTTGAGTTGCACTGTCAGACACCGCTAACAAGCAATGACTAGTGAAGAGATAGCAGACTGAGAAGACTTAAGTGTTTGCAGTAGTTATCTGTAGGGTGAATAAATTAGTAAAAGTGTTATAATCGTTTGTAGTTACAAGTTATAAGCAATCGATAAATTAATAATCAATCCAAACCCCACATTTAGTCACTAATGTGTGACAACATTTTCACAAGTGTAGAAAGGTATGACAAAACGTAATGCTATTACATTCCCCTATAAAGAGCTATCATCTATAAGATGTCACATACCAATTTCTTGCAAGAGGAATACAGGTAATCTGTGTTGTCAGTTACCAGAAAAAAGTCTCATTAGACTAAATCAATCTTCAAATTTTGAGCTCATTTTATCAAACATGGTCAAATCCCATGTCATAACAGCTCTAGGAGGACTTTCAATCACACTACTATCAGCTCTTTAAGGACACAAGAATTACAGTGATTTCAAGTGCCTGGCATGCTAAGGGCTGCCACAATACTGGGCCCACAGAGCTAACGCATGATATGGTTCAGTTTCCTTCTAGATATTCTGCATATCTCAGAGCATGTATGATACCTGAGCTTGGTACTTGAGATCCTTCCTGATCTTTCCTGTTGTGAAGTTCCACACTTCTATAAAACCATCCACACTACCAGTAACCAGGTACTGTCCATCGGGGGAGAAACGGGCACACTCCACATGTGACTTCTGGCCAAACTTGATCTGCTTTGACAACTGTGTTGGGTACTTTTCCTCTTCTTGATCTCTAATAGCTGCCTTGCCTCGAAAGAGATCAATTGTTGTGCCTGTAACATTTATTCATGTATCTAGTTTTCTGTCCTTCTACACAATAAAAACAACAGCTTTAAATACCATAAACTGTATTTAACATCACATGTAAGAATCTTCACACTGCTTGAGGAATTACTAAATATTGTGTGGGAGCCCATGAATGAGACATTTGCACCAATACACAGACTATGAAAATTAACTAAGATCCAACACAGCAAAGGCTGGAAAGGAATAAAGGTTATTGCAGTTGAAGCACCACACAAGAAAGCTGTGAGGCATGAAGGTCTGTCCACTGCTGTGCTCTGCAACATTAAACACAGCAGAAGGTAGCACGTCAAAAAAATATCCATACTGTTGCAAACACACAGCATACTATTAAAGACTAGACGAGTAAAATATGGAATTAACATAGCAAAAGGGTGGGGGGGGGGCAAAATTGCTCGTGTCCGTGACATTCTTTAACACTTCGCAGACCGGACGCCTAGGCCTAGGCATTTGGGTTTTAAACGTGGCAGACCGGTCGCCTAGATTTAGGCTTTTAGGACACGTTATGTTGCAACACACTATTCCTCGCTTTGGTGGCCACATGTCTGTTAAAGTACTACGTAGCTGACCTTCAGAATGTTTGTTTTCCGAGTAAGCAACGTGACCACTACCTATTCCCCTCTCACTCTTAACAAAAGTCCCTTTGTTCAAGTCGAAGCTTCTATGTGTGAGGCAAGATATTCTCAGTGTCAACATGGCTCAGAGACGAAAGCAGTTGAAAGCCATGCGAGCTCTCGGAGAAGAAGAAATCTGTGATTTGATCTCCGATGAGTTATCTGACTTGCCAACTGCTTTGTCTTCTAATAGCGAGGGCAGTGTCAGTGGCAGTGACAGGGGCCCCCAAAATATTGTGACCAGAAGAGAAAGTGAAAGGGACAGTGAGAGCTCCGATGAAAGTGCGAGTGCTAGCATTGCGGGGACAGCCACATGGGGTAAAGTGGACAAAACACCCACTTTGGGAAAGTTTACTGGTGATCCAGGGGTGAGACAAATGCTGTCGGACCCTAAGCAAGTGTCTGAAGTAGCTGAACTGTTTTTTGGAGATAGTTTCTTTGACATGTTGTGTCAGGAGACCAACAGATACTATCTCCAACACCGTGAGGCGTACGACAGTACCTACAAGGTGTTAAAGTGGGTGGATGTCACTTCAGCAGAAATGAAATTTTTTTTGGCAATAATCATTCTAATGGGGTTTACAAAGAGGGATAATTTGAAAGACTATTGGTCCACTCATCCATTTTTAGAAATTCCCATTTTCGGCAAAGTCATGAGTCATAAGAGATTTGAACAGATATGGTGGTGTTTGTGTTTCAATAATAATGAACTGCAACCACAATCAACGGGCAGGCTTTTCAAAATTCAGCCCTTATTAGACTTTTTCGTTGAGAAATTTCAGACAGTTTATAAGCCAGAGCAGCAACTGTCTTTGGACGAATCTGTGATTCCTTGGAGGGGAAGGCTTCGTTTTCGAACGTATAATCCTGGGAAACTCACAAAGTACGGCCTACTTGTTCGTGTAGTCATGGAAAGCACTTCAGGCTATATTGGAAATTTAGAAATTTATTCCTGTGAAGGCAAGAAATTGCAAAAAACTATTGTTTCCATTTTGGATCCCCATCTGGATCAAAATTATCACGTTTATCAAGATAATTTTTATAACAGTGTGGCAACTGCAGAATACCTACTTTCAAGGAAAGTATGTATTTATGGTACAATTAGGGTGAACAGAGGCCTTTCTCCAGATCTGAAAGAGGAATGTAAATCCCTGAAACGTGGTGACACTATCTACTCCCACCCCATGGAGGCCTCATATGGACCCCCCTGGGCAACTCTCGGGTGATATGTGGAACATACCCTCGTGAAAATTGTTATGAGCGAACAATCGACGGGGAAGTATCCTTCTAGGCAGTGCTGTGTGTGCGCTCTGGACAAGAAGTGAAGCAAGACTTCCTACGTCTGCAAGTTGTGTCATGCCTCATCACAGAGGGGAGTGTTTCCAGAAATATCACATTCTGAAGCACTTCTAGGAGCTCTGGTAAGTCTTCTCCAAAAATTTTAGTTCATAAAATTAATTAGGAGATTTTATATTAATTTTTAAAGTGAACAGTGCACAAGTTAGGGTAGTAGGTTTAAAAATGCCGGTCCCCAGGGCGATTAAAATATTTAAATCACTGGTCCGTGAAGTGTTAAGTCATATGTGTCCCCTGTGTAGTGCAAAATGAGCAACAAACCTGGCAAAGCTTCCCAAAAGAAAAGTGCAAACTTCTTCAAGATGCAACAAAGCAAGAACTTGAGTGCTCTCTATTGGGAAGCAAGAAGCAAAATTGGTTAAATGATCCCAAATGCAGCCACTGGAAACCAACCAACCAACCAACCACAGCAAATGGTCCAATACCAGGATTGATTCATACACAGAGTGAAAGGCCATTAACTCTGATTAATTTTCTCTTTCTGAAAGTCTTAAGTTTATGTCCTTTTAAACATGGTCTCCAGCCCATGTGGATTAAGTGGTCAGCTTTACAGTGAAATGGGAATTTGGGGGNGGGGGGGGGGGGCACAGAGTTATTCTGAACCTGGCAAGAACAGATAAATTCTTTAACCTATACTGTCCAAAAGTAAAACTCTTTTCTGACAACATGCCCTTCTAGTAAGCTGAATTTGAATACACTGCCTTATTATGTCATGATATTATTAAATATATTTTTTAAATTCTCAATGTCAGACCTCTTTTTCAGCATGTGTATAAAACGTTCCAATAGGTGTAAAAAATGTAAGAGATATATTTATAACTGAATTCTGATTGTCGACATTCTTCTGCTGAGGGTTATAAAACATCTCAATATTGACTGTTTTCTCCAAGCAGTTGTTCTTATACTGTCGTCCCATAAGGTATCAAATGGAAAAATAAATATCTAATGGCACTTCAAAAACAACCTCTGCTTTCTCACCAACTCTTCCATAAAATTCACATTCCATGAGCCCCATTTTTTATAAAGATCTCTTCATCAAAAAACTGAACACAATAATGAAAATAATGACTATATTGTGACATGTTGTGCAATGGAGGACACCCCCTCCCTACCCAGCAGTGACGTGGCAGCTCTGGCCACGGTGACGTGGCGGGTGAGTCAGCGATCTGTCCCCTCACCTTCCACACTGTGACATGGCATGCAACGCCGCTATTGACATGGGCAACAGGCAACAGCGGTACCGATTACATAACAGGCAAGCACTGCGACTATATAAGGGAACTACACAGCCGCCGAAGGCAGTTAAAAGTGTATCAGCCGCCGAAGTGAGTTTTCAAGTCAGCAGTGAACGAGTGAGTGTGTGTTAAGGAGTGGCACCATGAAATATAGCAGCCGCCAAAACAGTTAGTGTGTGAGCAGGAGGGACACAGTTAAAGTGTACCAGCCGCCGAAGACAGTTCTCAAGGCAGCAGCCTACGAGTTGAGTTGGAATCTAGCCAGCAGTGAGCCGTTAGAGTTAAGCTGGAATATAGCAGCTGTTGCGGAAAGAAGAACTGAACGTGTGTGTAGTTGTGTAATTGGGAGTGTGTGATACAGTGACACTTGTATAGCTCCCGTACTGTGAATACGTGTAGACTACTGAAGATAGAGTGAACAGATTATTGCGAATAGGGTTATAAAGTGTGAAATGCCGCAACAGTGTTATAATCAATTGTAGTTATGACTTGTAGGTTGTTAAATAAACCAATTAACAATCTGAACGGCGTCTTCAGTGGCTAAACACATTACATTTGGTATCAGAAGTGGGATACAGACTTTGAGCGCCAAAGAACATCAGGAATTTATTTATAACTGAATCATCCATTAGGCCCAGTGTACCAATCTACCCTGTAATGGCCTCCTAACTCTTATCTTCCTCTACATCCTGTTACTAGCCCCAGTGGGCGGCTTGGTTACTCTCCCCCCCCTCCCCCATACTCTGTCTTCAGCCTTGTCTGACCTCCAGCCTGTACTCTGTCCACTTCTCTTCCCACTGCTCAATTGCAATCCAGTCTCCCACCTCCTTCTTGGGATGAAAAAATGGTGTCAATCTGCTATTGGCTCACCCTGACTATACAGTTCATTTCCTCAAAACTGGCTTTACCAGTCAGATGGATGTCACTGTTCTTCAGTCATCAGTAACCAACAGTGGTCTACTGTGTAACAATCAATTCTGTTTCCAAAGTAATGCAGTCAAAGTCAATCATATATGAGAAAGTGTGCAATATCTATGCAACCATATTTATAGAATGTAAGACAAGAAATGTTCGCCATATAAAGTCTGCATTTACCAATCAGGTTGATGGTGACAAACAATGAAATAAATGGGTTTTCAGACCATGATGGACAAATCTTAGTACTTGAAAATTTACAGGTGATAAAGAAAAGGGTCCATGTAAGAGCATTAAGGGATATCAATGATGAGAACATAGAACATTTTCAACAGGCATTACAAAATGAAAATTGGGAAGCAGTTTATGATCAAGAGAACATTAATATGAAATTTAGTAAATTTCATAATACCTTCTTAACAATTTTTGAAAACAGCTTTCCCCTGGTATACAAAAAATAGAAAGACACCAATAAATGGATAACCAAAGGTATACGAACATCTTGTAATCATAGAAGAGCTTTATACAACTTAAGTTAAAAAACCAAAGGATGAAAGATTGGAATCATACTATAAAAAGTACTGTTTGACATTAACAAATGTAATAAAAGAAGCTAAGAAACTGTACTACCAAAAACTTATAAGTAACTCGGAAAACAAAAGACAATTAACCTGGAAGATTATTAATAAAGAAACTGGGAAAAGGAGGGGCCCAGATAATATAACCAAATTGAAAGTGGGTATTAGCAAAGTAACTAATACTAAGGAAGAAGTAGAAGTATTCAATAAATACTTTATAACTGTAGCTGAGAATTTGGAAACAAAAAGTGCCAATAAAAATTAAGCTATT